GTGTATCAGAAGGCGTATCGTTTTTTAAAAATAATATATCATATCGTGTATCGTAAGATACGGTGCAAATTTAAATAAATAATAATAAAATATATATACCTTTGAAAAAAAATCATATATTCATAAAAACATAGTATTTCATTAATATTCCACCAACTATTCAAGTCATTAACATAGTTCACTAAAATTATAAAGCAAAGTTCACAACCATAGTTCACTAATTCAAACTTCAAACACCAAAGAGACTTCTAATCCAAATTTTTAACATCCATTTTGAACTCAATCTTCAATTTCAATTGAAAATGCATCATCATCATCATTGTGATCGGATGCCAACAAGTCTTTACTTCCTTCATCATCTTCAACTTCTTGTATTTGTTCATTCTCATCCTCATCCTCATCTTCAAGTTGAACTATTTGCTTCTCTTTTTTCTGTTTAAAGAAAGATTTTTAGGTCTTACAAAACAACCAATACAAAATATAAAAAAAAAATATTCAAAGTAATGGAGAAGAAGAAAAAACAACCATTACATTTTAATTATATACTATTTACCTCTCTTTCTCTTTTTGCTAGTCCCTTCTTGAACCTCAAAACATTCATCCAAGTAGTGTCCTTAGGAAGGAGTGCATCTTCTTTTTTAGTGATCCACTCATCAGCAGATTCTATATCTGAGAGAGAAATAGGATCATATGAATCACCCTCTAGTATTCTTTTTTGGTGTCTTGCCTCCAATCGAAGATTGTACTTCACAAACACAAGTGCACTTAATCTTTATTGTGCTAATTGATTCCTCCTCTTAGAATGCGCCTGGTCAAATGTACTCAAATTCTTCTCACATCCTGTGGCACTACAAATCAAGCTAAGGATACGGATAGCAAGTTGTTACAACTCTGGACAACATCCTCCAAATGATTCCCATCATAAAGCTATAAAAAATTTCAATAGAATACTACATTAACTAACTCAAGCAATTGCATTAAATGACTAACTTAAGTTAGGTTACCGCTAACCAGGTTGTTTCTTCTTCCTGATTTGGATTGCCATGTTTATTCCAAACATCAAATCAGCATTGTGAGAGATATCTGATTGTTTACCAACTTTTTTTTCTCACAATAGGACTTGGACACATTCTCTGAATAATCTGATAAAGTCTCATCTTTATCTCATAGTCCACACTACTGTTAACGTAATGAAACCTGAAATAGTTATTTTGATTTAAAATGATAATTAATTAGTATACAATATATAGATATAAAATGATATAAAAATTGAGAAACTTAAATCGTACGCTAGATTGAGATAATAGGCAGCTGCATGAAGAGGTCTGTGTAATTGCATGTTCCATCTAGTGTCAACAATAGTCCGTATGTGCTCATAGTGCTTCACTTTACAAAAATTCTTTTGGATTTATTCCTTTGCTTTGTCCGTTGCCTCGTAAATATACCACATGGCAGGCTTTAAATCCCCATCTACAAGCCTCAACACCTTCACCAATGGAAACACACACTTCAAACAATACTTGATTGATCACCAAAATTTTTGTCAACTAGTATAATCTCCATCACTTTTACATCATCTCCCTTCTTAGAGTATTGACTTCTATGCCATTCTTCAGAAGCAAACATTGCTCTAGGTCCAATTTTATTCTCAAATAAACTCTTTAAAGTTAAATATGAGGTGGAAAATCTAGTCACACAAGCTCTCACCAAATCCCTTTTCTTTGTATACTTTCTCATAAGATTTAACACCCAAGAATATCTATAAATGTAAACTGTGATCTTCCTTGCCTTTGCCATTATATCCTTGTGTAGAGGAAGGTCTCCAATATCCGTCTAAATAAGATCTAGACAATATACAACGCAAGGAGACCAAAACAACTTTTTCCTCTTTGCCATTAACAACTCCTCAGCTTTTACATAAGCCGATGCACTATTAGTCACTACCTGAACAACATTGTGCTCACCAATCTCTTCTACCATTGAATCTAAAAGCTGAAAAAGATTATCCGTATTCTTACAAATGCCTGAAGTATTAATACTTTTAAGAAACACACTTCCTCTCGAACCATTCACTAAAAAATTAGTGATAGAGCGATGTTTCCCATCAGTCCATCCATCAGACATAAGAGTACAACCCGTCTTTCTCCACTTTGCTTTATAATTTTTCATCAACCCACCATTAATCAAATTTGTTTCTTTTTTTAAAAAAGAACATTTTACCTCATGATACGATAGAGGTTTCAATCTCTTGCCAAACGATGCAACAGATTCTAACATTCTTACAAAATATGGATCCTTTACCAAATTAAAAAGAAGGGCATTAGCATAAAAACATCTACAAATATCCAAGTATACATCTTTCCTACCCTTTTTTTCAACATGGTATTCAAAGTAATGGTGGTAGTTGGTTATATTTTATCAGCAGTAGTACTACCTACACTGCCACTACTTTTCGAATCCACAAGACTCATATCTTTGTTAGAAGCCTTATCATCCAACAATTGCTTAAAAAATTTAGTTACTTCCTCAGGGCATTTCTTACATGACGCTACATCTTGACGATTATCTGCCAAATGATTTTTTATTCTTGAAATGCCACCGCAATAGACATTTGCATAATGAATGCATTTCAATTTTAACGTTGATCCTTCTACTTTGTTATAATGTTCCCATGCGGGATCATTAGCAAGTTTTTAGTCATTTCTATATGAAAATAGAATGTTGGTGATGCCACTGTTTCACAAAATTAAAATAAATCAAGATTCAGAAATTTTTATACAAATATATATAAATTTGGCTTTGTAAATAAATTAACATAATTTCTTACGCTGCATAGGTTCATAGATTTCGATGGAGACTAGGAAGAAAAAGAAGAAGAAGAAGAAGACAGCTTCGATGGAGTACCTGGTGCAGGAAGAAGTAGGCAACTTCGATGGAGACTGGTCTTCGATGGAAGAATAGAGAACATCCAGAGTCGAAGACTAGCGAACACCCAGCGAACATCGTCAAAGGCTGAAGAACACCCAGAGACCCAGAGTTGAAGACCAGCGAACAACAAAGAAGGGAAAACAGGGATTTTATTTTTTTTGTAACCCTAGCCACTGAAACGACGTCGTTTCAGTGGTTATAGGGATAAAAAAATCAGCCTCTTGGCACAAAACGATGTCGTTCCATCAAAAAAAAAAAAACACTTTTGAACGTATCGTATCGTAAAAATGTATCGTGTATCAGACGATACAACACAAAAACGATACATAACTACGATCCGTATCGTTTTAGACCTGTATCGTACGATATGTATCGCGTATCGTACAATACTAACAACTATGTTGTATACACAATGATTTTTGGGATGTTCGGATTCCACCTATCAAAAGGCCTGTCCGATCATCCAAAAGTACAGCAACAATATTTTACATTTTACAAGATCCCGCACAACAGGAATACCCTTTTGGGTAATTTCAATAAGTTGACTTTTTGCAGATCAGCTGGGAAAATTGCCTTCCCATTAGTTTTAGACTACTTTTAACATGTCTGGTCCATATTTGGAATAACACCCCTTGAGATTCGAGGTTGTAGGCTAGGGTCTATTAAATAATATTTGTAAGTGGGCCTTTCTAGTATTTTCTTTTTAATTTTAGAAATATTAAAATGTATGAATCCATTTCTAATTGAAGGAATGTGCACGAATTTCAAATATTTTGCTCAATTTCATTGGGAAACAAATAGGAGAGCTGAAATTTTTAAGTTAATTAGATTCTTTGTTAAGCTGTTGTCAAGTACAATGGCCATTCCTTGGCCAAAATAAGAATGTATCCATTTTTCTTATTGGGAATGTTTGATAATTTTGGCTTTGTCTGGCAAAAGAAGGCTGTCATTGATGGGATTTTGTATCGTGCACTTGTGACGTGTGGGGTAAAGTTAGCAGACATAGTGTATTAGTGTTTTGTTTGTGGTGTGTAATGCATCATTAGGTATGAGGTCTATGCTTTTCTTGCTTTTGTTTCTTCTTGTCTCTACTCTTGTTCTTTTCTTCTTCTTCATTGTTTTTTAGCACTTCTAAGCCTCTTTGTTGCCCCGAGCAGAATCGGAGTTACTGCTGTTGTGCTCCTAAAGCCACACCACTAACCATAGACCAATAGCCCTTTAATTTCACAATTATAGCCCTTTTTAAGAACTCAAATTAACTGAAAACACTGTTTTCCCAAGTACTGTTCAGAGCACCCATTTCTGGACAAAAATTCTGGTCTAATACTACTCAGGCTACTTTATTGATATGTGGCGAAGACTCAGTAACTTACAAAAATCCAGATCTCATGTCTAGCCTTGAAACTGGAGCAAATTTTCAATCTCCCTTCGTTAACCTTATTCCGCATGTCTTTTATACTGTGCTATTTAAACCAGAAAGCACTTATTCTCAGCTATTTATGAGATAGCTCTTCCTAACTCGACGTGTCCATGTTCCTTCTTATCATGAATGGAGTCTTCATCCTTATGTTGACTACTTCTCGACATATCGAACAGTATTTGAAGTTGTTTAGGGTGCAGAGCATTAACATTATGCCTCCCCTTTCGAGCAGCCAGAAAATGATTTGAAATAGTGTGAGGCCATCCAAGATGGGATATCACTTTTGAGATAGTCATCCCCATTGAGCCTCAATTGGTAGAGACACATTTGCTAGGTCCAGGCCTTCCAATTATCGCTTTTAAGATTGTGTAGGTGTCTCCCTCTGTTCTTTTATATTTGAATCCTGAATCTTCTTGGCAGTTGCAAAATGATTGTGTGTTTCTGAGGGAAGAATTGGGTTCTTTTAGCTGTGGATCTAAAAGGATCTTTTGGAGTATGGCATCTAATTTGCACAATTACCCATTACCATTGGTGAATGAGATTTATCGCTGTGCTCCTCTTAATTCTAGGCAGACTCCATTAGGGTGTCTTGAAAGCACAACAGATACCATCATTACAGATATCCCCTATTGTCTCATTTCCTTGAGGCCTGATGCTTCTCCATGAGTGCTTATCTGACTTGTTAGACTGGCAACCTCAACTATGTTTGCTGCCTCAATTTTGCCACTTTGTTATATGGTGTAGCCTTCTCTGTGCTGTAGGAAGTAATTCAGACATTCTTGCTTGCATCCTTCTTCTGTGTTCATTCATGGGTTACTTGCGCTCAGCTGGAGGTTATCACAGGGAATCAGTCCTTGGTCTCCTATACATACAGTTTCTTCCATATAAGAGTTTGCTTTTTAAAATGCCACGTACATATAAATTTTTGGATATGGCCATAACTGTTGATGTCATCCTGTTTCTTTGAGCACCTCTGGAATTCTTTTGCTTAGTGAATTTTGATGGTAATACAGAATTGCAGATAATTTTGGTACTGTATGATACTGAAATAGTCTATCAACATATGTATGTATGATCACATATTTGGATTACTGATAAATTCATCTTTTTAATTATGTTATTGGTATAGGCCTGATTCAAGGGTTGTGAAATTGATTACACGAATGGGTTCTCAATTGAACCCAAAACAGAAGCGAGTGTTATGTATGAATAAGGTTGACTTAGTTGAGAAGAAGAAAGATTTGTTGAAGGTTGCTGAGCAATTTAAAGACCTTCCTGGATATGAAAGGTAGATATTATCCTTATTTTAATCATTGACTACTGATGTCGAAGATTGTCTTAGTTCTACAATTATTCTTCATTTTAGGTATTTCATGATCTCGGGACTGAAGGGTTCTGGAGTGAAAGATCTTACCCAATATCTGATGGAGCAGGTATGTTCCTTTCTCTGATGCCACTTTTATAATGTTAATGCCTCTCTCTTTCTGCATTAAAAAAGTGTTCTTAGACCCCATTTTTTTACGAAGTAGAAGTGTCTTTGTGTCCTTTGTGGTATTTCACAATTTCTTTTGGCCAAGAATAATATTTGGTTGCATTAAGAATATGAAAACCATCATTGCCTACGTAGCTGAGAAGACTGAATTCACAATTCTTCGCGTCATTTTGTTTATTCCAAAAGCAGTTTATGTTCTGTAATTAGTTTAAAATGGGCCATTTTTCTTGGTCAGCTGTATGTGCACTTTGTCCGTGCTTACGTATGCATGCACAGTGAATCACCACTTCATAAAGCTAAATAATTAACATGTTTCCACTTAAGGTCAGCAATGTTGTTAGATTTGTTTTACCAGACCCAAAGTGACTTTCAAGGAGGGTTTTATTTTCTTTTTATTGAGAAATGACTTTACCGTGTGTTGAAATATGAATAATTATATGCTAGGGTTAAGGAAAAAAAAGAGAAGAAGAAGAGTGGAAGAAAAAAAGTATGAAATAATATTGTGTGTATGGTGTTTGTTGCCAACACGTTATTACGTATTTATATTAGATTGATATTGAAGACAATTACAATACTAGGTCTGTTCAAACAAAATAATGTTATAAACAATACATAATAGAAAAGTAACACTCTTACCTCCCTCTCAAGCTAGAGCATAGAGATAAAAAATACCCAACTTGGAACAAAGGCTCCTAAAGGTGAATTGCACCAATGGTTTGGTGAGAAAATCACTGAGTTGACTGGAATATCTCCACGTGAGCAATAGAGATGATAAAACTTTTTTTTTTTGATTGGAAACTTGAAAACTTTGGACGATAAGATATCCATCTATGAAAAGGAAAAAAAAAAAATTTAGCTCATAAAAACTGTATCTCATCTTATGAGGCTCCCCAATCTACTAAGATACAAAAAAAGGGAATGCCGTCAAACTCCTTGGAAATAGAAGCCCACAATGACGCCAAAAAATTAACGCGATCCCATAAACTTTCCATCCTCTCTCGTTTATCCTCAAATATTATTGAATTCCTTTTCATCCATATTACCCTTATAGTGGCTAAAATTGCACAATGCCATAGAATCACCTCTTTCTTATACTTTCCTAGTTCCTCAAATTCCTCCACTAACATAGAGGAAAATGACCTAGGAATCACCCAATTCATATCTGCTAATGGAAACAATTTAGTCCACAAAAATAAAACAGTAGGGCAATGTAAAAACAAGTGATCAATAGTTTTACTTTCACATGCATACATGACACACCACTGTGAAGAAATGCAAATAAACGATCTTCTTCTTTGAAGCACATCATTGGTATTTATATTGTCATGAGATATAGTCCATGCACAAACCTGCACCATAGCCTTCCAAATCATCACAGAGGGAGAAAACACACAGTGTGAAGGATCATCAATCATTTTATCAAAAAATGATTTACATGAGAATATTCCCGAAGACTTAATAATCCACTTTTTCTTATCACTTAACTAGCAAGGATAAAAGTGACACCAATTCTGTAAAATCTCTATCAAGATTTCTATGGAATCCAAAGGCTCAAGAAACTGATTGATTAGAAAACTGATACAACAAGGCAGTAGAAGACCCATGAAACCGAGATAAATGATAAAGACGTGAGAACATATGTGAAAGGAAAGATGTCCCAATCCAAATATCTTCCCAAAAATGAACTCTCCCCATTTCCCCCCATGAATGTAACATATTGAAAGAACCCTAAAAGCCCCAGAGAAATAAACTTCCATAGGCATCAATAAGTTCCCTGATCAATCCCTTACCATTACATCTATTGGCTTGTAATCTATATTTACTCTTGATAACCGAATATCACATAGAATTTTGTTTTAGTGGAAATCTCCACAGCCACTTACGTTCCTTGCCCTCAAGTTTCTCACTAAAAGCCCACCTTTGACTTTAGTTATTGACACAACCTCCCAATTTACTAAATGATCATTCTTTCCGTCATCACTTTCTTCTCACAAGAATTTTCTCAATTCTCATTACTATCTTACTTGGCATCTTAAAGAGAGAGAAAATATGTAGGTATACTACCCAAAACTGATTGTACCAAAATTGACCTTCCTGGTAACACCCCAATCCCACTACACTATTATGATAAAAATAAAATTTAGGCAATCCCGCTATTAATAACCCAGTATAACATGACACTTTAAGGAAACCCATCCTAGAAATAGTTACCTTAGGATCATTTTTTTTTTTAAAGAAAGGTCATATACGCTCGGCACACAAGCCTGCTACCATGTAGAATATTCATATCTTAAAAATATTCACAAGTGTTGCTTACATGACAAAACCAAAATATTTACATCATATACAACCCAAAAAGTTTGTTTTTTTTTTTTTAATAAAACAAACATTAGAACTGACACGAGCCATTCTCAACACTCCTAACTGGACTTCTAGTTGCGGCAGTGGAGTGCAAGCTTGTGTACAGTATACCTAAAAAGTTTTCAAGCAAATTTCAGTGAGTTCTCATTAATGATTTTAGATATAGAGCAAAGAAAATAATGTGATGTCCTTGCTCATTTATGAAATTTTAATTTTCTTGTTTCCATATCTTTTCTCAAAATTCTATTTCATTGCGCTACAGTTTTACACAAAAATAATCATCTTGCCACCCAAAGCAACCAAACACCACACAATAATATTCGTCGTTCCATAACGTTTCTCGAAGTTCTATTTTATTGCGCTAAGATTTCACACAGAAATAACCGTCTTGCCACCCAGGCGACAAAACACCACACAAGTTAATCACCATATCAGTATACGATCGTCACTCAGACAATTTAACAAAATGTATCATTTTCTCGATATTCTATTTTTTTTTGTTGTTTTTTTTGAACAACCCACATCACATCAAAAATTTAGCTTCAGTCACGTAGACGAAATCAGCTTTAACTTATTTCAGTCACGAGGACAAATTTGAACACTTGGATTACTTTTCGTAACATAGACATCACAGTCTAATAATTCGCTTTCGTCCCTTTGGCGTCTTCACTACGCAAATAAAATATGTCACACAGACATCCAACCCTTTATCGTCTCAACTATTTGATTTTTCTTTCCGTTTGTCACACAGACAACTAAACCATAATATTCTAGTCTGTCACGAAGACATCTTATTCCTATCGTAATATTAGAATACTCAAGCCATTTATTCACAATAGAACTCATAAGCTAGAAAGTCACATAGAAATAAATAAACCTTTACATGTAGATAAAATCAAATGTTAGCGCGCATGCATACCTGACTAAAAATTTATCGTGTTGATGACTCATCTGCCGGAGCTTTTTGAGCAGCGTTCTTTACGGCGCTCGTCCCTGGACCTGACACCCATTATTCAAAATCTCATTCGAGTATTAATAAATAATACCACTTTACTCGAATTGGTTTACACAAAGCAAATTTCTTAATTTAATCAATCCACATGCAATCACTCATCCACATCTAGGAATATCAATTACTCAAAAAAAATCATAAATAAATAAACTTGTAGTTATAATCTATTCGAGTCACATGAGAATAATCCATTCATAGGTAGTAAAATTACCCATTTGAAGCTATGACATCCAAAGTAAACATTTCTCATAAAATTATAGTAGCCAAAATGTAGTTGAATCTACATAATTTTCCAATAAAATCATAAATTGCATGAACATTTCATACCCATGGATTTCATGAAAATTCAAGAAGAATTAACAAAATTCCTAATTATAAATACCCAATCAAATCATAAAATTGTATGAAGATTTCATACCCATGAATTTCATGAAAATTCAAGAACAATTAAAAAAATTCCAAGTACTCACTACACTTAAAATTTTTTTTTTTTTTACAACAATACTAACTTAATTTACACACCCACATAAATATCAAGATGTAACTTTCATGCATTAATCAAACCTCATACCCAACATCATACATCCATATACAACATCTAAACATATACAAAATACCATCTTTGAACCACATGCAACACTCAAAATGCCTACATAACAATAGGATTTTTTTTTTTTACATACTAGAAGAAAGAAAAGGATCATGATTCTTACGTTGTACCCACACTTTATTGTAGTTTTATTTTTATTTTTTTCCTTCTTTTCTTCTCTTTTCTTTTCTTTATTTCCTTCTTCTTCCCTTGGTTTTCTTCTTCTTTCCCTCTTTGTTCTTGATCTAGTCGAATATCCCCAAGTGCACCCATTTTTTTTTTTGGGTTTCTTTTTTGCTTGCAAGACATTCAATCATGACCTTATATATATATATATGTATACATACACATATTTATTATATTATTACACATTTATAATATACATACATATATACAATTATATGTATGTACCAATTTTTTTTACTTCTTCTATACATATTTATACATAAACATGTATATACATATATTCAAATTATTGACCATCTATTAAATTCGTCTCTCAGACCCTAAACAACTCCTTGTATATACTAATACATTTTATTCCATTATTATTTATTTATTTTTTAACAATAAATTGATGTCACATGCTTGTCACCCGAATTAATTTCACATGCACTAATGTACATAAAATAATATCACAAGTCAACATTCTTATTTAATTTTTCACACTTTAAATAAAACAATTCTCCCTATAATTATTCTTTATGAAATTATCTCTAAATATTTAAAATATTCATCGTTCATGTTTAAGTCTCATGTCATTACTCATAATTAAATACTAAATGTCAATCCTACACATGCATGTCACATGTGAATATGCTTATGACAAATATTATATATTGATCATGCGTGTTCGGGTCTTACATTCCCCCTCTAGAGATATAAGACCTCTTCCTCACATCTAACCTTTTTCCCCGAAAGGAAGACCTAAGTAGTAAGTACTTTAAAGGCCAATCTCCTACACCACACCCCAACATCGCGCCAATTTAAAAATTTAATAATCACACTTTTCTCCATATTGATCCTTAATCTTGACACCATTCCAAATATCTCCACTACCCTTTTTAGATTATTAAATTTTTCCTCATCTCCCCTTGCAAAGAAAATAATGTCATTAACAAATTGCAAATATGTCACAAAAATTTCATCTCTCCCAACAATGAGATCCTCGGCAAGATCAAATATATCTACCCTACTTACTAACGTACTCAATCCATCAACCACCAAAGTAAAAAGAGAAAATGAAATAAATGATCACCTTGCCATAATCCTTTAGTTGCTTTAAATTTCCCCCATAATTCTTCAATTAATCATAATCGAGAAATTCATTGAATGCAAACATCCGTTAATCACCCACTCTATCTTCTACCAAATCCTTTTATCTTCACAACATAATTCAAGAAG